ATTGGCCCTCTCCCCTGCAAACGGCATCTGGTGGGTGTATACCCATTGCAGTTCCGGAAGACTGAAGGTATACTTGGTCGTTAAAAGCGAAGTCATTCCTCCTCAGACAAATGTTGAGTAGTTTGAGGATTTCTTCGTCCGGCCTGGATGCTTGCGGGTTCCTAAGAAATGCTTTCCTAACTGCTTCAATACCTGTGTTATTATCAATGTTCGTGTACATGCTTTGTACGTCGATGGATATTAAAACGGTGTGTTCGGGGACTCTTAACTGTTTGATTTTCTGAATGAAATCGTTAGTGTCTTTAAGGTAGGATGGGTGTTGGCATGCTAGGGGTAATAAGAAATGGTCTATATATTGTGATACGTTGTATGATTCGCTGCCACAGTCTGATATTATTGGGCGTCCCTTGGGTATTTTATTAGGTATAAACCATTCTGTTTCTGGATTTTTATGTATTTTTGGTAGTGTATAGAGATGTCTTTGTCGGCAGTCAGATTTAGCAGATAGATAATCATATTGTTTTGCTGTTATGTATTCCTTATCCTGCAATTCATATAAGATGTTGTTTATTAAATTTGCGGTGTCCTTAAAGATGGGTTGGTCTAATTTAGTGTAATGTATAGGATTACTTAATTGTTTTTCTGCCTCTGAGATATAGTCTGCACGATTCATTATGACACAACGAGCCTTTGTCGTTTTTCTTAATTATTATGTTTTTGTCCTTTTTAAGGGTGTTTAATGCCGTTTTAGTTGCTCGGTTGAGATTTGGTTTTTGTGACTGTGGTTGAATGGATGATATTTCTATATTCATTTCGTCGAAAGTTTTTAGGATGGCTGGTGATAATGACTTTTTAGGTGGTTTCCATGTGGATTTTACTGTGAATAATTTTTTACCTCGATAAACTACTAGAAGGTTTTATTACTCAACAAATACCTTCTCGAAGTATGTAATAAAATCTAATACCCCAGAAATCTTTCAATATATCTTTATATCCGAATGTTAATTGAAAAATGTTAAATTAGTTATATCCTTTTGTTAGCCTTTTTTTAAACTACAATATAGCCCTTTATAAAACTTTTGTTGTTTTAATGTATCAAATACACGAATAAGAAGTTATGTACAAATTTTTGTGTTTCTGGATCAAAGATATTTCTCATAAACAGTGATTGAAAATTGAGTAAATTCTTAACGTAAGTCTCGTAGCCAGCTGTAGCCATCATAGTCTTAGTCCAGTCAGCAATATTTAGAAGAGACTGGTACATTATCTTTGTAGATATACCTGCTTATTATTCTTGTCCTGCTATTTTCCAGACTATGGATGTATTGTTTTGACCAAGCTCCTAGATAATTGTGACATATTCAGTTCTCTGTGGATAATCGGATTAAAATCTACCGAATGTTAACAACAGTTACAGGCCAAGACAAAAACGGATTTTAAAAAATGGCATACCGGCTTAGATTTGGGTCCAAACAAATGCCGTTTTCGTTGTATTTATTTTGTTGACTGTATAATAAAATCAAATAGTATATATGTTTATTATTTTCAGGCGAAGGTCCGGTAACTAAAAACTGTTCAATGCAAATGGCCTACAAGAAAGTCGAAGATGACACGGGGCCGGTATCTGGAAGCCAGACACGAAAATGGACCCACAATGGTTAGCTGAAGTTCCATTGATTATACTGGGATATATGCAGATAAAAATGACAATTATTTACAATCCATTATGTAACATAATTAGTCTTTAGATGAGTGGGGTTTGTGGGTCGAATTGCTGGTCAGTTATTGGCCCTCTCCCCTGCAAACGGCATCTGGTGGGTGTATACCCATTGCGAAATAACGATAGCTTTCTGGGCAGTCCAAATTATCTTCATTTTACATATAGAACCCTTTGTTGTATTACTTCTCATTTGCAGTATCCGGATCGAAAAGGGGCGTATATAAGAAGTTATATTAATCATATTAAAATAAATCATGTTTTACAGATTTCCAAATAGGATCGATGAATGCTGATGATAAGAAATTATGGATATCAATGACGGAACGTATTGTGACAGAGTTGCAATCTAGTCTTGGCGATGCTATGATGCGATTATATCAAGCCCATATTATAGACCTTGATGATAAAAAACGAGTCTATAAGGTACTTAAAGAGCAACAAGAAGTAGACGCAGCTCGAGAATTAGTAGATATCCTTGTTGAGCGTGGTGATAATATCCTCAAAAGAATTATAAGGGCCCTAAAGCCAAGATATGACATAGCAAAAGAACTAGAATGTGAATTAAACAATTCATCTTAAACAATTAAAACAATATTTTTGTTCAAGATATCTGAATGAGAATGGATAACGGACGCGACATCACAATACAAAATTTTGGGTCCATACCGTGAAAATATGGATTAAGATGGTATTTAAGATGCAATTTTGAAACCAGTACGCTTCAGCGTGCACTCTATGATTTCAAGGATTTTGATGTGTTTTTAATTTCGAATGTTAATCTAAATTTTGAGCTAGAGGTTTAGTTCCTTTAAAGCGATCAACAATGGCTCATGTTGTCTTGTGAATACATTTAACTAAAATTTACTCAATTAAATTTATTCATGTTATATTTTCATTTGAATTATGTAAATATTGTATTCACGCCTGTATGATATATGATGTGAAAAAAATTAAAAGAACCATGTGGCTTTTTGGATATCATTGATCGGGAGCGGATCCGGGAGTTTTTACAGGAGGGGGTTTGCTAGGTTCCTGTGACAATGTATCTTTGTGGTGGGGCGGGGGGCGGCTTGAAATGTTTTGCGAAATACACGTCTCTATCGTCTTTGTCTTGTACATACACACTGAGCTTTTTAAAGAAAAAATCCCAGCATCCTGTTTGACGTCAATTTTTATTATGAATTAATACCCTTACATTGTGATTCATTTTCATTGATGCAAAGCTTAACTGTAATATGCCTATATCATTATCTCGCGCTTTGAATACCCATCCCATCCCACCATCTGATGATAAATCCCCCCCCCCACCTCTGAATCCGCCCCTGGTGATTCTTTTAGTGCAGTAAATGCTAAACAATTAATTTGATTGAAATGTACTAAAGAAAATTTGATATACAATTGTACATTGTTAACCATTGAACATTCAGTGATTTTTGCTTGTACTTTTTCTTTTTCTGTTTAATCGCCATTGTGTATTGAAATCAATAAAGAGTCATTTATATGTTTTAGATATTTCAATATTCACATACATTTTATTTATTTTTTTGGATGGGGTGGGACGGAAGTCTTCATTTACTTAAATGCACCAGGTCTTCCTAGCATCGTAACCCAGCTCCATGGCTCCCATGCATGCCACAAGTGGTTTACCACCTGATCAGCCGATTATGAAGTATAGTATATGTGAATAACTGACGGTAAAGAAGACACAGAAAATATATAGGTTTCTTCTGTACAGGAAGGGGTCGACATATTTTCTGTTTGTTCGTTCGTGGTTTTACGTCCTTTCCATCTTGGGTGATACCAAAGACAAGTTGTATCATTTCAGTCGAAGCCTTTTTGTATTAACACCATGTCCAAAGTATGCTAAAGATATTTTAATATGTTGGAAATGAAATGAAAGGAAATGGTGTTTAACATCCTACTGTTCTGCTCCTAAACTGGGCTAATGAGGGAAATTTTGCCCGGGTAGCGGCACTATGGCCTACTCTTATATCCAATTCCAACTGCAAAGGGATCTTTTACGTGCACGCCAATGTATACATGGGAGCGCGGTTTTTCGTCCCATCCGAACGACTAGACAGCTGTCCTTGTCAGGCCCTCCGTTCTGCACCACCCGACAAGGGGAAACCATGTCGGAAAATCCCGATGAACTTTCTCGGCCAATGCAGGGGTGGAACACGTGACCTCCAGGCTAGCAAGCCAGCGTCTTACCCACTTAGCCACCGTGGTTCCGTTGTGTGTTGGAAATGAAATGGGGTTTAACGTCCTACTGTTTGGCTCCTAAACTGGGCTAATGAAGACGGAGCGCACAGTTGTGTGTTGGTATATGTACATCAAGACAATAGTTTGAATAACACAACACGTATTACGATCTAACATTTTATAAGGTAGACGACACCAACTGAATTATATTATGGTGGGCCATTCCACACATGCATTACAGTAACATGCTCCCATTGTGTACGTCATTAGCTTTTTTATTTTATTTGGTGGCATTATGCTGTGTTAGGAGGGAGGGCGAAAAGGGCTTTAACGTCAATTCGACATTTCGGGACTACATATAGTTCAATTTTATATCAATAATTCACTTGCGCAAAGAGGTATTTAGCAGTGGGGGGAAACCGTAGGACCCGGAGAAAATCCACGATATTCGACAGGCAACCCTAATCCTTGTCACGTACAAGCAAGGAATCGAAACCACGTCACTAAATGAAATGACAGACCTTATGATGCAAGGCGCACATGTTAACCATTCGGCCATCCAACCTCCCTATAAAGGGCGTATGCCACCATACAATAGACTAAATGGATCTACACGCGCATATTAAGGTAGCATGAATGTATATAAAGTGATTTATATTGAGTTTTAACAAAATATTTTTAATTACTAAACAATTAATTTCGGTGAATAACGTGAACAGTCCAAATTATTATTATGTCGAAAATGACGCGGGGGTGGGCGACGCGAGTGCAATGCACGCTACAGATAAAATTTACACGAGTTTGGGCGGCTTCAACACAATTCAAACTAGCAATATATCAACATAGTTGTCACCTGATCATTTAAACTGTAAACCCCGTGAAGTGCCCTGTACCGAGGCACTCACATTGAGAAATGTGACCGGATGTCTTCTGCTTTTCGATCACAAGTAGGAGTGCATTTATTTACACAAACACACACCTACCTCTCACGGACCTTTGTCAAATTACTGATTGATAAATTTATGCACATTTTGAATATAGTCGGAAAATCAATAGCAGTGGGAGGAAACTGGACTGGCAGAACACCCTTTAGATTGAATAAAGACAAATCACCTAAACCCTCCAGTCCTGAAAGAAAAACCGCATGTTAGTTTCAAAATGACTCATGTAAACTGTGTTCATACTAAGTCCTACTCCATTCAACGCTATATTAGAATATATAAGACGCGGAAATATTTAATAGTGTTTACCAACCTGTGTTTTCAAACACAATCAAAAGAAAATCATCGACATTTCGTCTCTCAAGTCTACTTGGTCAAGTAAGAATTTAATATTATTCTTTATTTATAAATTGTCTAGAATCTATAAAATATGAGGTTGGTTGGGTGGTGGCGGTGTGTGTGTGGGGGGGGGGGGCGAATAGTTTAACCCTTGCTTGTTAGATTATCCGGTCTATAAATGAGGCAAGTAGGTAGGTTTCGATTACCTGTATGTGCGTACAAGGCATAGTGGGTGTCCTCCCACTGATAAAGCGAATTATTGAAATAAAATTGAACCATATGTTAGTCCCAAAATGACCCGGTGTATATCGAGTGGACGTTTATTGCCATTGTATTGTTCGATTGGTGTTTAGTTTAATGGTTTTGGGGAAATGTTACTATTTTTATACAAGTGACGTAACATATTATGTATGTCAATATCGCGTGCGATAAACAACGTCAAGTTGCTAGTAAACATTGTATTTATAATTTTAACAGTAATGTTATTCTACTATTTTTTAGAAGTGACACCACATAAGTATTATGTATGTGAACATCGCGTTTTTCATTTTAACAGTATGTTATTCTACTGAGCTGTTTCTTGAAAGACACGCTTCTTATATAACAATTAAATCGCATGTAACCTATAATTTTAAAATAAAATGGTGGTTTAACGTCCTACTTTTCTGCATTTACTGGGATTTATAATTTCAACAATTTAATGTAGATACCCCGTACATTTCCTTGGTCGGATTGTTCATTTTTATTGTGAAGTGAACACACTAGGATAGAAAACACCTTTGCCTTTTTAAACAATACGTAACTGATCAGCAGTAAATATTCGCCTGACCGCTACAAACACTGTTAGAAGAGTTAATTAGCTCCCAATATTAACATTTTTCCTTCTAAAAATTAAATTCTAAATGTTTTTGTTTGAATTATTAAGAAAAACAATTAAATGGGTTGAAAGTATACTCGGTACATAAAATAGTACGCGAAGGGATACAATGAGATAAAGCCACCAATTTTTCCCGGGCCAGTTTGTATTACTACGCCCCGTCCTATATAATAATCTGTTTAAAATACAGATCTATATTTCGTTTCGTTTTTTTATATATTTTCGATGGCCTATACTGACCGGTTTAAGTGGAAGGTGACGTCAGAGGTCATAAGAACGGTTTTTGACCCTATGACGTCAGACATTTTGTAAACCACTAAGCGTTGGTGTTTCTAGTGGGTTACCAAGAGTTCCGTGCACCTTACGCCAAAGGCTCGCCGTAACAGACCGTTTCATTGGCTAATCCCTCGCATCATCCTGAACACGGGTTATAACAACTTTTCCAGATCCTAGTGTAGTAGTAAACTAGTAAAGACAAAAACGAAAGGAAATAGGATCTGTGTTTTTAATCAGATTGTTCGATATAAATAATACATTTGCTTTCTAGTATGATGTGACGTCACGTGAATGTAATGCACGTGAACTCATAAATATCGAGTCATCTTCTACACAGTTTAAAGAAGGTATTCGCATTACCTCTGTGAAACAGATTCAGATTTTACCTATGATGAAATACGAAGTATACTGCAGTATACATTATTTTAAATTTATATAACCCTTCCTCTTTTATTAATTCTACAGATAGAGCACAACAATGGCTGAACACATCCGTAAAGGTAAATTGAAAATAATATTTTAAATTTTTCATTGAAATTGAAGCTTGAGTGGTAATGGTTTCATAAAATTAAAATCATTGCAAAACGCAAGTTTAATCTTTAATTCTTTTAGTTACTATATTACATTTCAATTTTTGAATCTTAAAAATTGTTGGTATTTCTTTTGCCATTACCTTTGTTTAAATCTCTGAATTTTATTTTTAAATTTGAATTTAGATCTTCTGCCATACTACAAAAGAAAGTATACTGAGTACGAAATTAAACTACGAACTCAACTCAATCAGTAAAATCAATTTGCATATATCCAATTTGCATATTGGTCAGCCAATCGAATTGCAGTATTTCTTAAAATTTCGATTGTATCTTAGTTTAAGTTTTCGTGAATATGGTCGAGTATTACAGTCCCTGTTACAGTATACAATTCGTGGATGAATCGATGTTTAAAAATATCTATTGTGTCTGTTTTATCGTTCGCAATAGGAAACCAAAGGTCGAAGTTTTTAAAGTAACTTTTTAAGTAATTTCACAATGACCAGAGTTTTAGTTGTTTACAATAAAAGTGATGGTGCTATTTATATTGCATTTGTGATGTATTTATTAATGAAATTGACAACTTATGAATTAATTACTAGTCTTAGTCCAGACAGCAACGTGTTTAAGTGACTGGTACATTAATTTTGTAGACATACCTGGTTATTATTGTTGTCCTAATATTTATAGTGTTGTATAATACTACGGATGGTCAAGTCGTTATCATACCTAATCCCACTAAACACTGCATTAATGAAAGCAAATTTCTGTGCCAAATTATGACTGGTCAATGGTCCGATTAACAACTAATAGCTAACTGCGTTACAAAAACATTTCGCTTAAAACAGAGCTTCAAATTGGACCAAGTATGTTTACATAACGTTACGTCATGACTCACGATTTTATTATACCCGATTAACCAGTGCTTAGCAGAATATTGCTGAAAAACTAATTGCGTGACAAACGAGGCTATCAACGGTTACAATGTAAACAATACTGTTCGGAGACGAACAATACTTTCACCGTTTTTAAATACCCTAAATCGCTGTCCAAAGTTTTAGGCGAGACCCAGAATAAACGAAGGGCTGTCATGTTGCTGTACTTGGGATAGATTTGATTGCACGGGAAGAATAGCGACACACTCCCTTAAAAGCTCAAGTATCAGAAACTAATCCAGCAATGGCCAGAGAGAGGGATTTCTCGGTCCATTGCTTCGGAAATATGAGTCCCTATAGGTTATTATTAGACATAATTCGTACTTTGTGGAGAATCTGATTAGCTTGACTGGGGGAGCGGTTGTTATTTCTTGATCAAATGGTTGGGCTGTTTTGGGAACATTGAGGGGTGTCAACGTACAAAATACTCTGCAAATAAACGGTGGAAAAAGAAGTTGACAGAAAATAATTGAGAATTGGCACTAGTTTGCGCAAAGCATTTAGACCCCTCGACACAGCTTGTACACTTTCTCAAACGGGTATTACATATAGCATTAAAATGCAAAACGTGTGTTACCCGCTGTGGAAATAAAACAATATGCAGAATGTTAGAAACTGTTATTTGACCAACACAACGTTTGGTGTAAAAATGACTAAACCGGTTTCGTTGGATTTTATATATTGATATATGTTGATGTTGAAAGATTAAAATGGCTATAGAATTTAATCAATAAAAATAATGTATAATAGTTTGCAGAGTTGTGGCATATTTACAAAGGCAACGTAATTTGTAATATTTTCAGGCGATTCGGGAGCAGGTCCGGTAACTAGAAGCCAGACGCAGTCAAGTACACACACAGGTTCGGACACCATTTAGCTACAGTGTCACTCATTATACTGGGTAAATGATGAGAGAGAGAGAGAGAGAGAGAGAGGGAGAGAGAGAGAGGGGCTTTAACGTCCACTCGACACACGTCAGGCCATGTAGGGACTAACATATGGTTTAATTTTATTTCTATAATTCGCGTGCGCATAGGGGTCTTTAGCAGTGGGAGGAAATCGGAGGATCAGGTGAAAACCAACGAAGTTGGACAGGCGACCCTACTCCTTGTCGACTCAATGACAGACCTTATGATACAGCGCGAGAAAGCTAGCCATTCGGCCACCCAACCCTCAAGATAAATATATAGATAGATAGATAGACAGGTAGACATATAGGTAGACAGACCAATAGATAGATAGATAGGCAGACAGGTAGACAGGCAGACAGATAACATTATCCATCCTGATAGTTAGAGAGATCACACGTTCAAAAGTATAAGAGTTATGTTGGTCGAATTGCTGGTTTAGGTGTAGTTATTAATCCTTTCCCTAAAACCTTGAAAGCCGCCCTTCAAGGATGGCTATCTGGGCAGTCAGAAACAACTTACTTTTAAAGTGTTGATTTTTTGGGTCGATAAGATGATCAGCAAGTGCTCTGAGTTATAATAATCATATTAAAAGAAATCATGTTTTACAGATTTCCAAAAAGGATCGATGAATGCCGATGATAAGAAAGTATGGATATCAAACACCGAACGTATTGTACAAGATTTTCAATGGAACCTTGGCGACGTTATGATGAAATTATATCAAGCCCACATTATAGACTTGAATGATAAAACTCGAATCGAAAGGACAACTAAAGACAAACACGAAGCAGATGCAGCAAGAGACTTAGTGGATCTTCTTGCAAATCGTGGTCCTAATGTCCTCAGAAGAATTATAAACGCCTTGGCACCAACATATAACATAGCAAAAGTCCTAGAAGATGCATTAAACAGTTAAAATTTACAATTTTCTGTGTCATGGCTGATCATTGTATATTTATCATTAGTATTTTGTATATCAGTCAAATCACGATCTTTTCAATTTTGTGACAGGCATTGCGTCATTTTAGTAATTTTTTTATATTGTAATCTAAAACTGAATGAACTATGTAAATTATTTGGAATGAATATAAATGTATCACTTTGCTTCGTGTCATTTCATTGATTTTATTTCGTTCTAAACGACTCACCAGAGCAGATCTTAAGGGATAAAGCCCAGCAGCTCTTCCTGTAATATCATTTGGTGGACGTTTTCACGCTCTTACGGATTTTGTTGTTAAACATTTTTTTTATTCAGGATATCGTAATGGGGTTGGGAAACAGGCTTGTTATAGCCTATGTAAAACACATCATCCTTAGGGGATAACGGCCTTAAGAAGGGTTTGAAGTTCTAATTCAATATTACCCAGAGTCGTTGACATTACCAACATGATGTAATGGTCAGTTATATTCGATGAATGATGGTGTATTGCTTTGCTTACTGCATACTGAGGCTGGGGGGGGGGGGGGCGGCGTTCGCGTATATAAACAATTATGAATTAATTCAAGTTTGCTGGATTTCACAGGTCTGACAAAGACCGTCGACAGTTTTTAATGTGCCTTAAGACATTAAACTTCAAAATTGACACAAGTTTGCCTGAAGGTTTCGGCCCAAAAGAGATCATCGAGGTCGCGCAAATCATTTAGTTTGTAGACTTTGTCAAATGGCGATACAAACTTGTGTTACCCGCTGTGGCAATAAAACACTGTGCATGCCTATTATGTTATTTTCATATGTTCATCAAAGCACACGGTGGTTACTGTAGTGAAGATGATAGTCTCTAGCTCCACCTGGAAACCGGACATTGATATATCTTTGAGAAACTCTCTTAACTCTACCCGACCACCGGATGTTGGTGTCTCTTTTAGAACGAACCACACAGGGCCCTTAAAATATTCTAGGGCAAAAGTTTCAGGGACACCCCATCCCCTTGCAACAAAGTGTTCAAAAGAACCGTGTTCACCATGTTTCTGAAGCAACGACCGCGAGTTTTACATGTACGTAGTTAAGGCGAGATCAAGCCTTCTATTGAAGATGCGTGTTCACAGACTTAATCGCGTTTAATTAGGATATGGCAGCTATTTTCTGCGCTATATTTACAAAATTCGAGTGGGAATGGCGAATTAATTTGGGATATTAAGTGAAATATTGTCAGCTAGGGGTGCGTTATTGGTTGACAATCTATCGCAGCGAAATCTTTTTTTAAAAATTTCTATCTAAGAATGACGGCCGTCAATATGGGGTCCGAGATACCATCGCCAAAAATAAATAAGACATTTAAGAGAGAGAGAGAGAGGGGGGGGGGTAACGTCTACTCGACACAAACTACGTCGTTTCGGGACTAACATGGTTCAATTTTATTTCAATAGTTCTCTTGCGCGTAGGACCCGGAGAAAACCCACGAGTTTATACAGGCGACCCTACTCCTTGTCACGTAGAAGCGGGGAGTCTAATCCACACCAGTTGACTCAATGACAGACTCAATAATATAGCCCGCACGTGCTAACCATTCGGCCATCAAACCCCCCAGAATTGCTATAAGAACAATAATATAAATAAGACATTTCTGAATTACAATTATATAAAAATAATTTTCATTTAGTTGTTGCAATGAGGTGAAAATAAGATAAATAAGACATTTCTGAATTACAATTATATAAAAATAATTTTCATTTAGTTGTTGCAATGAGGTGAAAATAAGATAAATAAGACATTTCTGAATTACAATTATATAAAAATAATTTTCATTTAGTTGTTGCAATGAGGTGAAAATAAGATAAATAAGACATTTCAGGATTACAATAATTATATAGAAATAAATTTCATTTTTAATTGTTGCAATGAGGTGAGAATAACATAATAATAATAAATTTTGATTCAGACTCAGATATAAAGAACCAGGAACATAATGATAATTATCACAGAAGCTGAAATAAAAAAAATAAAAAAGATGAATCAAAATATGAATATAAAAAATATCCATTCCTTTTTCCGTACGGAATTGAACTATGGCGTTAACATGGCAACACATTCGCGATGTAGATGGCCCTAGTATTCTACGGGAGGCTGGGGGATGGCGCTGTATCATAAGGTCTGTCATGGAGTCAACTGGCGTGGTGTCGGTTCCCCGGATGTACAGGACAAGGGGAGTAGGGTCGCCTGTCCAACCTTGTGAGTTATCTCCGGATCCTCCGGTTTCCTCCCTCAGAAATAGATCCCTCCTCGATAGCAAATTATTGAAATAAAATTGAACCATATGTTAGTCCCGAAATGACCTAGTTTGTGTCGAGTGGAGGTTAACTCCCCTCTCTCTCTCTCGTCTCTCTCTCTCTCTCTCTCTCCAAATGTAATTCATATCATTACACTGTTACCACAAAGTCTCCATCGTTAAATGCCACTGTGAAATGAAATGGATTTAACGTCCTACTATGACTGGGCTAACCTACTCTTATATCGAAATCCAACTGCCAAAGGATCTTTACGGGCATGTAAATGCATACATGGGACCTCGACTTTTCGTCCCAACGACCAGACAGTTGCCTTGTCGGGCCCGCAGTCCTGCACCACTGACAAAGGGAAACCACGTCGGAAAATCCCGATGAATTTTCTCGGCCAATGCAGGGATCGAACACGCGACCTCCAGGCTAGTGAGCCAGCGCCCTACCCGCTTAGCGACCGTGACTCCTAATCGGACATAGATACGAAATACTGATTAACGGGATAGTCGGGTTTTGTTTTTTTAAAAGTGGTATCTTTAAATCTGGGAGAGCTGGATGGGCTAGTGATTTAACAAGTGTGCGTGAAATCACAAGGTCTGCCATTGAGTCGTGTGACCTGGCTTCGATTTCCCGTTTGAACATGATATTGAGAAGGGTTGCCTGTCCAACCCCGTGGGTTATTTCTGGGTCCTCCGGCTTCCTCCTAATGTTAAATGGTATATTTAAATCCAACCTCTGTGTATCAATTTACATATGAACAAACCTTGTATTTCCTGACCGCTAGCACTAGTAGTAGGCGAGGGAGATGGTGCTTGACTACTTGTTCGAGTAGCTAGACTAGGAGTAGTTGGACCACCTTCACAAATCACAGAAGCTTTGCCCGATACACATCCATCACTGTTAGCAGTAAATATCGATGTACAATCAGCTGTTGTATTTACACCCTCGGGACAAGTAAACTTGTGAATCCCCAGTACCGCCTGATCATGAAAGATGGCGTCGTTAACCTTGACTGCGTTAGGATATCCCAGTTGTCGACAAACCACATCACCTTCTCTCATTGTAAAATTATCAGCACAGACAGCATAGTATTTGTTGTATTTATATTCTAAAACGTTTCAATGTTCAATGCAAACGCCAAGGTTCTGCGATTTGGCCTGGAAAGTTGTGAGAACGCGACTTGCTTCAAGTTTGTAATTTTTCAGGATATTTGCTTGCGGTGTGTTCATGTTTGCCGCGACCTTAAGTATTTTCTGCTCGCCGTACGGTTGCAGCGCAGTAGGGACGCTACCCCGGTCTGACGGGGACATTACTACATGTCATTGAATGAATATGTCTTTACTAACCTGTTCCAAAGCAAATAACAGAGATATACTGATGCTGGTCTTTTGAAGTTAAACTACTGACACTCAATGGTTGAAGGCGAGGAAAGTGTTCATCCCATGTAGTTGCCATGATGCGCCAGACATATGTAGGGTATGATTTGGGCATGTCGTGTAGTAGACCACCATGTAGCAGCTACAGCCACCACGTCAGCATCAGATTCAAACGCGTCAAATGCATAACCCGTTGTACCATTTTGTTTTATCTGAACATATCCATAGTTAGTACCACCTTCAGATAATGAATATTCAGCCGCTGAAATATATATCATATTACGTCTGTGCCGATATAAATTTTATATTATTTACTTTTAACTTGGAAATAATATAAAATAAAACCAAGTACGAACAATCAAAACCATTAGACAAAATTCCAAGTCCTAAAACAACGGTATAGGCAAAATAGTATAATCAGCAAATGTACTGTTCACTGTGTATAAAATACACGAAAAACAGTGGTAACAGGTGTCCAGAAGAGTAAGCCTACCCTGCCTGACGCCACACCCGCCATAGCTGCATCCAAATTATTAGACGAAATCTCGATAAAATAGCGTAATTAGCCAATGCCCAATGGACTACCTGTATGCAAAATACGCATAAGAACAGTGTTAACAGATGTAGTAGACATAATCACGTGTTTACATTCATTCTATACTTATAAAAATATGGTACTGCATTGACTTTTTCTATTTTTCTTTCATGTTCTCTTATCTAGTGACAGTCAATTTTTTTAGGAATTGTCAGATATACTCTCACAGTCTCAAACAACAACTTTTGGTCTTCGAAGGAATTATTAGTGAGCAGAAATTCGCCCATGTATCTGTTATCACCCGTCACTTCAGTCAGTTATATAGAGGGATAACTCGTGTTTTCCTTTTGCGTTCGTCACTTACGATTGTCCAAGCATTGATTACGCATCTATTGTAGCAATGATCTCTGTGATAAAATAATATTTGGAACGTGTTTAAGCCGTTCTGTCACATATGTTTTAATGACTGGCGTGGATTCCCTTTATTAGTGGTGCAAAGCGGAGGGCCTGACAAGCACAGCTCTCTTGTCGTTCAAATGGGACGATAAACAACCTAGGTCCCGTGTACACAGCTTTCCTTGTCAGACCCTCCATCTGCATCACAGACAAGGGGGGAACCAAGCCGGAAAATCTAAATGAACTTTCTCGGTCAATGCAGGGATCGAACACCCGACCTCCAGGCTAGCGAGCCAGCGTACTACCCACTTAGCCACCGTGACACCCCCCCCCCCCCATTAGCTAATGAGTCTTTTAAATACAATATTGCCGCTGCCCGGGCAAAATTACCCTCATAGCACACTGTATGGCGTATCCCCGTCTTCATTAGCCCAGTATAGGAGCAGAACAGTAGGACGTTAAACCCCATTTCATTTCATTTCATTTCATTTCATTTCTTTTAAATACATACAAAAAAATGATCTTACAATCATTGTAACAGGCAACAACCGGCCAATCAGGTGAATTACATCTATACATAG